AACCCGACTCATAGCGACCCCTCCTTGGGTTTCCGAGGCAGTATCACTACGGAAGTAGGATTGCCCAACCTTCCTTCCGAGGAGTGGCTGGTGGGTAGCTTTAAGAAAAAAGAACAAGACAACTGAGACAGAAGAGGCAAGAGAGACCATGCTGAGCAGCAGAGGAAGGACTAGGTTGAATGGTGTGAAGATGGGGATTAGAAAAAAAAGGGGGGGGCCTAAAATAAAGGACAACAACTAACCAAGGGATGAAAAAGCCCCAGATATTGTTCTTGGACACCTACTATCTTTAAGATGTTATGCCAGGCACTGTGCAAGAGGCAGAAAACATGAGGCAGGATTGCTGTCTACGTGAAGTTTGCAATCTAGTGTTTGGTCTTTGTTATGGAGCCAGAGATTGGATGATTAGACTCAGTGCTGGAGATAAAAGTGTGGCCACACTCATCTTCAGCAAGTTTGCATAGGGCTCCAGGAAGGCCAAGGTCAGGCAAGTAAAGGGCATTGTGGGACAGGAGGAAAAGAGATCTAGAGAAGAGAAAACAAGGGTGAAATGAAGGATGAACTGATAAACATTTGTTAAACTCTTTTTACTCTGTAGTGTGAGAAGAGATTACAAGCTTTGATTCTGGGGGAGTTTTATGTCCTTCCACCACATAAAAAGCAAGATAAATTGAATCTCAGATCATTAGTTTATTATGTTGCTTTTCAGTTTTGAGTTTTTTGTCTGTTTTAACCACTTACCATCAAACTTCGCAAGCCTGCTGATATCTGCTCCAAGTTCTGAAGTAACTGATAATGCGTGGCGGACTTTTAGGTTTGTTTCCCTGTGAAATTAATTGGTATGACATAAATTTTAATATGGAACAGCCCAACAGCATCTTATATACACAAAGCAAGCAGGAGGGTACAGCACATGCAAAACTCAACCCAAGAAATTCAAGAAACTCCCTTTTAATGTATTCACACTTCTCACAGTCTCAGGAAAGTAGGGAGGGTTTTCCAGGCTCCTAAGAGTTGGCTTTCCACCCACAGCACATCTGTATAACAACACAGTAATCTGGTTTGCTATTTGAAAGAACAGAGGACATGCTAAATATGGTTTCATTGGAACCTACTTAGACATCATGCGTGAGTTACAAAACACATTAGGAATGGAAACACAATTACCAAATAAAGAAGGCCAGTATCATTCCAGTGTCTACTATCTATGTAGGAGTTTTACTTGTGAAAGATGGTTTTACTTGTGAAAGATGGTCATGGTTAATTTCACAGTAGCCGAAATTTAAATGGAAAAAGGAATACAACTTTTTCTTTCTTGGAGAAACAAGGCAAGTATCCCATAAGTCTAGAATTGTAGAACCAAACGGGAGCTCAGCAGGTCATAGTGAGCTAGTCATTTCCTTCTAGGCAGGACTGCACTTATATTGGACAGATGGCTCTCCAGTAGTCATGAAATAGCCAGCAGGGAAGATTCTATGACTGTCACTCATGTCTTCTGTTTAAGGACTTGCCATCCCAATTTTCTCACTGAGTTCAACCTAATTCTCTTCTGCTGTATTATATCTTAAGATCGTTTGCTGGTGTTCCATCTTTTATGGAAATGTTTCAAAGTGGGTTCATTTAGTCAACAAATACTGAATGGATACTTACTATGGTTACCCCATGATACCCAGTGCTGCCCCCAGAGAACTACTGTCCTCTTGAGAGAAACAATTGGTAGATGAAAAAGCAAGTATCACCATATGGAGTTACATGTCAAATCATGAAATATGGAGTTTAAGGAACTGAGAAACAGGTACCTGAGAGGGCATTCAATCTAATCTTCCATACATGAATTTCACAGTGATGTTAGGAAATTATGGACTCAATTCAAGGAATGTGTATTGATTAAATAACTTTCTGTAGAAAACACTAAGTTAGATGTATTGTTGTTGTTGTTGTTATTTGCCGTCGAGTTGGGCCCAACTCATAGCAACTCCTCCTTGGGTTTCTGAGGCAGTATCACTACGGAAGTAGATTTCCCCATCTTCCTTCCAAGGAGTGGCTGGTGGGTTTGAACCGCCAGCTTCTGGTTAGCAGTCAAGTGCCTTAGGCACTATGCTACCAGAGCACCCAGTTAGATATATAATTGAAGCTTATTAAAAAGTAATCTCAATCAAGATACAGGAGGCACAGATGAATAGGGATTGAGATGGTCAAGAAGAACTTCATGGACAAGGCAGAAATTGAGCACAGCTTGGCAGATAAGAGTTAGATGAGTGATGTTGAGGCTGAAGAACTAATATGTCTGTCCATTTAAAGAAATTTTCAAATAATTAAAATAGTGAGTCACATCAACTAAGTTGGACAGCCTTTTTTTTTTTTAACCCTACTCTAGACATCAGGTCATTCATCAAAGCATGTCATCATGTTGAGCTGCTTTCTGAGGATTCTATTCAATATATAACTTCCTCCTTCCAGTGTGGAAACTAAAGGGGGGACAACAGTCATACACAGACCTTGCTGATATTTTGAAAAAATTTTTTAAGACTCCTGGTTAATGACTTCAGTGACATGGCATACTCTCCCTTTATACTTTCTAAGTATCTTGATAAACTTAAAAATTATTTTAAGCATTTGTCAGATCCTTTGGATGTGATTAATTTGCAGTTTCAAAAGAATGTGAAAGCTAGGAGAGGAATAATTTTGAATTCATCACACAGTTACTGAGTATCTATCATATGTCAGGGACAAAAACTCCAGGGAGCTGAAAGACTTTTCTAATTGGATTTAAGTGTTGTTGTTGTTGTTTTTGTTGTGTCCCATCGAGTCAGACCCTGACTCATAGTGACCCCTTCTTGGGTTTCCGAGGCAGTATCACTATGGAAGTAGATTGCCCAACCTTCCTTCTGAGGAGTGACTAGTGGATTTGAACCGCCAACCTTCTGGTTAGCAGTCAAGTGCCTTTGGCACTACACTACCAGAGCTTTAAGTAGCAGGGTCAAATGAACAAAAAGTTTAGGGTTTAATCTGTTTTATATTCTGCCTTCAAATAACAGGTGATGACCCTGCAAATTGATGAAAGAATATGCCAGGTTCTTTCTAGGTTCTCAAGCAGTTCCAAGGGTCCAATGAAGCCAGAGCAGAGAAACTAAAACAGAAACAAATGCCATAGAGCAGACACCAAGAGGTTATACCATTAAAAGTCTAAATCTCACATGGTAGACTGGACCACAGTTTAATTTGCCAATACCTTAAAGAAAATAATTTCTAGTTTAACAGTCCAAGGTTACAGAACTCTGTGAATTTTGCATTTTGATAATGAAATCTTTAAAGAATGTTATAAATTCACCCGTTGGACCTCTAATTTTCTAAAGTAAAACAGACTTCAGTTTCCAGTTACTTATATGAAATTATCTCTGAAATCCAGCCCAGCACATGCAGGGTTGGCATAAGTTAGTAGGAAGTATGACCTTAGTGGTATAAACTGAGGGACACCAGGAAGGTTATAGATACACCTCCAACTGACTTAATACAGCCTGAAATTCCAGCACTGTTGAAATAATTAGCTGGGTTATCAAGTATCCTGTTTGATAATTTGAATAACTTATTAGCCCGGCTATGATTCATATGTGAAGAAGCTCTGGTGGTGCTGTGGTTAAAGCATTAGTTTGCTAACCGAAAGGTTGGTGGTTTCAACTCACTAGCTGCTCCACAGGAGAAAGATGAAGCAGTCTGCTTCTGTAAAGACTTACAGCCTTGGAAACCCTTTGGGGCATTTCTATTTCTATTCTGTCCTATAGGGTCACTATGAGTTATAATTGACTCTATGGCAGTGGATTTGGTTTTGGTTTTTACTATTCACATGGTGTTATGATGGAATTTATATAGATCAACTGACAGCTAACGTTAACACTGATATAGAAACAGGAATTAATTTTGGTATACGGTGTGAAGCTTTCAAGATCTTCATTTGCTGATATGGTACCACTCAAATTGAAGAGAAACAGCCGCAGACATCCATTAATCATCGGAACACGGAATGTATGAAGTATGAATCTAGGAATATTGGAAGTTGTCAAAAAGGAAATGGAACGCATAAAGATTGATATCCTCGGCATTAGTGAGCTGAAATGGACTGGTTT